ACACACACACACACACACACACACACACACACACACACACACACACACACAATCTGTGTGCAGTGTCTGAAGGCTGTGGTGTATGACCTGTTCAGTTGGCTCTGAATCAAAACTTGTATGAAGTCAATGGGAGTATTTCCATTGAGTTCAACGGGCTATTAGGTCCACTATGAATAAGTTTGATATTTCCAGTCTGTATGATGAAAATGAACATGGAAGTTTTAGTTCTTTGGCTCACAGTGGAATAACAAATGAAGGCAAGTGATGGCTGCAGAATGTGTACTGAACTCTTTAGAAGGCAAGTGTATAAAATAAGAGACTGGGTCTTTTCTCTATTTGGTGGTAACTGTATGGGAGGAGTCACAGTTCAAGTACATGAACTGTTATTCTGCACAGTAGCGTAGAATGAGAGACAGTCGACAGTAAACACTGACCATTCAAATTACTATTTCAATCTCAACTACTGAATGTCCTGTCTTAGATAGTCAAGCGTAATTATAATGTTTTGCAGCTGAGTTCCATCCCCTCCCTTCTCTACTCTGCTCCCAACAACTTTGATGTTTTGCCCGAATGGCCTACATTTTTCTAAAAATTTCAAAATAAATTAAAAGAAAGGGATTTTTTTTGATTGTTTTTAAGGGGAGCCTTGGAAGTATCTCAGTCCTCAATTTTATCTTATTTTAAAAAAATCTGAAAAGATGATGATGATAAATATGGTTCTTGGGCTTTTTAAAATACCAAGAAAATTGTTTTGTTTGATATAAATATTTCTTTGCAAAGTTAGCTAACTACATTCCAACATTATGCCAGTGCATGAGAAACAGAAAATGAAGCTGTTTTCATTGTTCAAATGGAGTGCAAATTCTAAAAATAGAAACAAGACACATAAATCTAACTTCCCTTTTATTAAATGATCAAATTTACTAGATTTCATAAAATATTTTCAAGATTCCTTCTGTGTTGCTGATATTTTTAACCTGAGGTATCTGTTAGTAAAAACAAAAACCTTCAAATTAAAACTGGAAGTTGGCCAAAAAGTCTATATGCTCATGGCCATAATAGATCATGAACTGTGCGTGTGGAACAGATACAGATCAGGCTGTGCCGGCAAAACTTGGGCATTCTCTATGCAACGCCTGTAGACAATGCAAGCTTCTAATCAATAAATCAGGAAACATAAGGATTGTAGCACCTAAAGTTTTCTGTGTTTTTATGCACTTGAGAGATCTGTAGCTGAAGCATACTTCAAAGCTCTGCAAAATATTGAACAGAGATTATATTATTATTGTGGAGAAATCTGAGTAGCAAGAAGGACTCTGGAAAGAAATCTAGGCTTATGCAATAGCTTTATTAAGGATCAATGAGTAAAATATATCTTTTCAATAAATTTTTTGAGATGTGAGTGAAGAATGGCCAGAGATTTCTCCAAAAAAGTAGAAAAAAAATTGTATATTTGTAAGTCCCATAATTTTAAGATTCCTGGCCTGATTACAAGCTTTCTAAAAATACATTTCTTCTGGTCTAAGACTAGGCATACAAATTTCAAAATGAAAGGGAGATTTATTGCTGATATTGGATGGAAGATTTTCAAAACTGGTCCAAGGATGGAATCGGTGTTACAACCCTAACTAAGGAGCTTTTACTAAAACTCAATTCTATAGTTCTGTGCAACTAAAACATCAGGACTGGTAAATGAAAAACAACTGGTGGTTCTAGAAATGGTGATACTATGGAACTTTATGGATTTCTCAACACAAACCAAGAACTACACTTCCAGGGCAAGTGGTCAAGACAGACAATGATTACTGATAAAAAAAATTAAGACTTTGCAGAATTGGCATCTAAATATGTGCCTTACATTTATATACAGGAATAGTTCAATGGACTATTTATGTGCTTAAAGTATAGCATGTGCATAGGAAGAGGTGCCTTAATTCATATAATTTTATGGCAATTTCCATAAATTGATAAACAACTCTTACCTTGGTCCACAAACAGGGAGGCTAATGGAACACCTTTCTGACTTTTCATTAAAATAGTTGACCAAGGATTGTTGCCATCGGAGAGAGGTCTTATTCTGAAATCAGAATGATTCTTCAGACACTGTACAGAACAGCATGTTTCTATAACTTTTTTAATGAGAACTAATATAGGTTTAAAAAGAAAAAGAATGAATAACTAGAAGCTATCTATTCTATAGAATTTCTTTTCTTGTGCATGTTTAAACATGTAACATACAAATTGCTACAACAGTAAAAGCGACAGTGGCGTATAGTACAAGTTTGCGTATAGTACAAGGTCTAAAACTTGTTTGATGGGAGTTTATAAAATTCTTTAAAACACAAACTTTTGTAAAAGAGAACTGGGCAAGATCAAAGAGCAAGCACAAAAGAGTAAGCTGCATTCAGAGCTGAAAGTAAGCCGGTACGGTATGGCGTACCGGCAAGAACTGGTACACAGCCGACCGTACTGGCAGGGGGCAGGTTCTCCAGGCCGACAATTTAAAAGGGCCCTGGGCTCCAGGCAGCAGCCGGAGCCCCGGGCCCCTTAAATTGCCGCCAGAGCCCCGGAGTCCCAGCTTCAGCTACCGCTACCATGGGGTGATTTAAAGGGCCTGTGGCTCCCAGCTACCGCTACCGCAGCTAGAGCCCTGCGCCCTTTAAATCGAGATTTAAAGGGCCCGGGGGATTTAATGGCCCCGCCCCCCCTGCGCAGGACCCCAGCCCTGCGTACTGGTAAGCCCTTTAAGTTACTTTCACCCCTGGCTGCATTTAACATAGACATATTATTTTATATTGATATTGTATGTTTAACAATCATGGAAGTGCCCATTCCAGTTGATGGACACTTAATAGACAAAGAAATATACCCTGGAAAGGAGATAAGAAGAAGGATCTTGAGTGATTTATAAAAAAAATAATGAATAGTACTAGTGAAAAGTCAGACAGCTGATTTCAACACTTTACAACAAAAGGACACAAAATTCTAAAAATGTATTGCCTTTCAAAGTAGTAAAAAGGAAATACTTCCTTTACCCAGCATCTAGACAGCCTGGAATTCACTGCTGCAACAGGTACAGGCATAGTGCCCTCGACTGCCTCTCCATTTCCTCACTATTTCAGAATCCCAGTAGAGCCTGACTCTGAAGGTGTTGGGTGGGAGGGTGGGTCATTGAAGCCAGATCAAAGAATCAACAAAACATCTCAAAGAATCATGGACTGTAAGGTAAGTAACTGTTCTAGCATCTTTGAGTCTTTGTCTGCATGAATCCCATTTAGGACCACCAGAAAATTCCCAGATTAATAAAATGAGGGTCTGAGGAATTCTAGCTAAAAACTACCTAGCTAAATAAAGGTTGCAGAACTGTGCTCCCAAATTTGGCTTCCAATCTAGTCATCAAAATATCTGTCCTCATGTTAAGTGAATATAAAATACAGCTGTCATACCTCTCCTTACAATCTGCACGTTCCTTTGTTTGAACTGAGCTTGGTCCCCATGTGCAACCTTTCTTTTTAAAGCTTTTCTTCACGTCTTCAAATTCTTCTTGGTGACAAGCTGTGCTTCTTCCCCAGGTTCTGTTGCTTTCATCTGAGGTTACTAGAGACAGGTACAGTAGTTTAGTGTTCATTAGAAGGACTATTACAGCCACTGAAAGAATTTGGATTTTAGCAAAGCAGCCTTCTCCACTAAAACTGCATCACAATAGCGAAATCAAAAAGGTGCAACTTAAAAATTGAGAAGATTTTTTCCCCCCACTGATGGCAAAATACAAACTGCATTGATCAAAACGATAAGCAAGCAAGGAACAATTTGCAAACTGACAAGAAAGGTGAAAATTAAAGATAAAGCAGCAAGAAAGATCTTATTTTTCATGCTTCTTAAAACTCAATACCTTACATTTAGGTAATTCATGTACGTGAGGCAAACTGAGCATTTACCAGTTAATATTTTGTTCAGTAGAACTTTTTTTGATGCAATGATATCAAATTAATTAGAATATCTCAGTTATGACCAATTACTGTGATTTTGTTTTTCATTAACCCAAAACAAATATTTTATAATAGATATTTTCTGTTTAAGTGCTCGGTCTGTCACTTAATACAAGTTCAGCTACAGAGTTAATACAACCAACACCCTTTACAATTTATTTTGATCTTGCCTTTTTTCATAACCCCACCGGAAAGTTCATATTCACTTGTGATATCTACATCTTGCTGGTACACATATACACTGTTTCTTCGGCCATTGGCTGTATTTGTGTCTGCTTTGGAAATCACTGAGGAAAAATTAAGAGAATGCAGTAGAGATCTTAGTAATTTTACTTTATTTGCAAAAGAGGGACCGATTTGTCCTTATACTTTTAGCTCTAGAACCAGAAACCCAGATCCAAAAGGTGTAAAATGCCTCCTGGGAAGCACTAAGCAGTCACAGGAGGAGTAGACAGTAATTGGCCCCAAAGTCTGTGAATATGAATCAGTTAAATAAATTCTTGTGTCAGATCAGCCTCAGGTTGATAACTAGAAAAGTAAATTGTCAACATGCTCACAACCAAGATGATAGTATTGACATAGCACAACAACTTTTGCCATGACAGACTGTCTTTAACAAGGTAAAAGTTTAGAAGGTTTATAATTCACCTATTTCTCACTCCTCCCCCATCTCTTACACCAATTTAACTTGCTCTGCAGCACAGATGCTTGTCTTTGCTAAGAGATTACAACTGGAGTTTTCAGGGTTCTCTGGAGACTACTTACAACCTACTGGTTTTTTTTTAAATTAGTGTTCAGAAATAGCTGAATTCAAACGTATGACTAAATTTTCTTTACAATTAGCTAGGATTTCTTTTTCATTTTTAAGAAATTTAGATTTGGAAGCTTGAAATATTTATGAACAAAAGAGGTGTGATCAAATAAGCAATTGTTAGATACTCTTGCTCAAAGCACACACATTTGAATAAATCTTCTCTAAACAAGGGAGCTCTGAAGTTTAATCAAGATTAAATAGCACTGGAGGAAGGTATTTTACATAGGTAGAAAGGGAATTACACAGGAATGCGGAAATTAAGTTGCTTCAGCCAGATATATTCAAAAGATCAGAGAGCTTTGGCTAGAAGCTTGGGAATCCAAACTCAAAATTAGAAAGTATTCCATTTGAGGGAGACTCTGTTTAATACAGTAATTTTTATGGTCCTACAACGGGAAACATTTGCTCAGTTAGACCCACCAATTGAACCTCACACAGGCATATGGGTCTGCACTGGTGGATCTCCTTGAAGGACAGGGGCCTATGACTGTGGGAGTTAGAATGGGTACAAATGCAAATTATTTTCTGCCTTTTAAAAAAATCCTCAAGATTCTAGAGCTCGGCTAATACCTGAAATTTTTATTTCATTTCTATGTTGAGTGCCATAGACATCAAAAATTAAACAGCAATCTTATTTCAAGATTTTGGTTTTATGAGACATACCATTAGAAAAAAAATGTTTTGCCCTACCAAAAATATTAAAAAGATTAGCAAAATATATAAAAGATGGTATGCAATAAGTGTGATTGGGACAGGTAATTGTGATTTCACCCACAATTACAGGGAGTATGAATTCCAAAAACATCTTATGGAATCTGTTTTGTTTCATTTTAGCTGTCAAGTGATAGAAGTCCTTTATAACTTGGGAAGGTCAACTTAAATTCATGATACAGTTTGCCAGAGTGGGTATTAAGCTGAAAGTGTTGTTGTGAAGTTGAGAATAGATTAAACCTAAACAGACATGGCAGCACTTCAAATTTCACATGCAAACAAGGTAGATTTAATAAAAACTAATTTCTCTTCAGGCTGAAGTAAAAAAGGGAACATCAACCACACTTCTTATACCAATTTTGAGAAGACAAACCCCACAATTTTCTCTTGCTGCTTTTTTCAAGCAATCTTGAGACTAAGATAAAGAGACAGGTTATACCTAACCCCTTCCTGTCCCAACCAGGTATGAGGTAACAGAGTGCTCCGAGTCTATGGAAGTAGATCAGCTACACCCAACAAATGCTTAGCTGGTCATTCTAATAAAGACGGCCCTCCAGCTATAACTAGTGACTATGAAGAAGCAGGGGCGGCTCTAGCTTTTTTGTCGCCCCAAGCACGGCAGTCAGGCTGCCTTCGGTGGCATGCCTGCGGGAGGTCCCCGGTCCCGCGGATTCGGCGGCACGCCTGCGGGAGGTCTGCCGGTCCCGCAGATTCGGCGTACCCGCCGCCGAATTGCCGCCAAATCCGTAGGACCGGCGGACCTCCCGCAGGCAAGCCGCCGAAGGCTGCCTGACTGCCACCCTCGCAGGGACCAGCAGGGCGCCCCCCGCGGCTTCCCGCCCCAGGAACATGCTTGGAGCGCTGGTGCCTGGAGCCGCCCCTGTGAAGAAGAGATAATGATGAGGGCAGGCTTAAGACGGTGATGCTCACCCAGAGGGAAAGAGCCTATTTCTACCCAAGATTAGAGGGAGCCCAGGCAGCTAGGTCCCAAGATCCAAAGGCAACCAGAGAAGACCTGATCCCCCGAAGGGAACAGCCAGGAAAGCGAGCCATATACTTCTGATTAAGCACCAGAGAAAAGACTGGGATCTTTCTCCTCAGAGGATCTGGTGTGGGTAAGAGAGAAGACTACCATTCAGAAGCAAAAGATGACCTAGATTCTAGATTACTTCGGCACTAAAAATTGGCCCTGGGTTCATTGCTGATTTGTTGGGATGGACGCTACATGACACGTTTATCTCTTGGGAAATGACCCTGATTAAACAAACAGATTTTGCTTTACTGTTCATCCCATGTGGTGTTCCATTATGGCCACGGGCAGTTGGTCAGCCTGCTTTGTACGCAAGGCCAGACAATATTAAAATCAAGCCATGACTTATAGATATTAAAAGATCTTTTCTATCTCTAGATATTGTGTTCTCAAAAATCGATAGTGAGCATAACATCTTGAGCGTCTCGTGGACCAGTTCCCCTCCCATTCATAATTGCTACCTGATACTGCCATTTATACAGACAACTTCCCTACAGGAACCCCAGGAGTTGCTTACAAAAAACAGCATTTAGGTATTTAATAAGTGTGTGATTTTCAAAAAAGAAAAAGGCACTTATCTCCTCCCCCATCTGTTCTCTTCCTCCCTCCCCTGCTTCCCATGTGCTTGGTTCCCCTTCTTCCCCGCCAATTGGTGTTTTTGTCCTTCTGGACATATTATGGCTGCATTATTCCCGGTGTCTTTGGACATTATGCTCCTGTGCTTGGTTGGCAGCTCTGGTCCAAGGACAGCTGATTTCCTATCATTCTATTTGGCAGCAGGCCCCTTTCACATGATACTTTGCCATTTATCATTAGCCCTTTGTTTATGATCCTTCAGTACTTCATCCAAACCAGATTATATTTTTTCAAGTACAATGTCCTGAAACAATTCAACATTTTACTAAAATCCAGATAAGTTACAATTTGCTGAATTCCCTTCAGCTACTAATTTTGAAATACTCACTAAGAACAGTCATTCTAGCAAGATTTTCTCTTTACCAATTCATGCAGCTTATTGTTCACAGAACATCTAGGGGCCCAATCACATTCATTTTCTTTACATCCACATGTAACGTATTCCTTCCACTGTGTTGCAGTATACCCTATAAAATGAGTGTGTTCATAATGGTTAAAAGAATAAATTGAAATGGTGATGAAAACTTACGCTGTATAGCTCGAAGACGAGGAATTATTGTAGGGCTATTTGGTGGACTAGAGCTGTTACTGTTTAAGCTTCTTCGTTTATCCAAATTAGGGGAAGCTTGCACTGTTATTTTGTGCTGGAAATCTGTTGTGAAGAAAGCAACACTAGGTAAATTTCACTGTCTAAATAAAGAAAGATTACACTGTTGTATTTTTTCAGCATTAACCATAATGAAATTTATATTTATGTAAGTGAATTTCATTAGATAAGATTTCTATTGTAACAGAGAAAAATTCTAAGCCTACTGGTACAATTATTGGTTTGAACTTTGAGTCATGTCAGTAGAATTTTACAGCTTCACTCTAACCATTTAATGGGCTTTTGGCAGTCATGTGAAATTAGTTTGGTGGTTCAATGGGCGCTGAACTAAGAAATGTCAACATTACAAGCCAACCTGCAGCCTTGCTGGTGCTTAGTAGATTCAAAAAGCTAAACAGCTATTTTGTTTGGTTTCAGAATGCTCTTTATAGGTCACAGTTGAGACATATTGGCAGGGCATTGTGGTGAAGGCTGTATTGGTGCTGGATGTGCTGCATCTATTACGGGAATAGTCTTAGGACTCCAGTCTCTGGGACTGTCCATCTGGCACCCTTACAAATACTTAATTCACACACATGAAAAAATGCAGCAATGGCAGGATTCTACTATCACGAACAATGTCTTTCCACAGTCCTGTGAAGTCTACATTGCCATCTAGTGACACCATTAGTACAATGCCATTAGTGAATAGATATTTTGCCATTGACTCCTGTAGAAACAATAACTTGATAAACCAGCAAGATGATATATCCATTGGGGGTTTAGATGCCATGATCGTCACCTTTTGCTACATGCCCATGAAGCCTGAAAACAGACCCTGAAGTGACATCTTCTTTAGCTATTACCACATTTTTACACACAGCACGTGCACACACACCCCACACCAACTCTGCTCTGTTTTTTCTGCTCACTGTGCTTACAAGCCAAACACTCTAAGATAAGTGTGGTCAACAAGGCAGCAGGTTAAGAAAATTAGTTATCTACAATACTGCATTCAACCTAGTTGTCGTTTTTTCTTTTGCCTTCTACAAAACCTTACATCAACTGCATAGTTCCAATACTTTTAAATACTGAAATAAGTTTATGCCAACTGACCTTTCTGGAAGGGGGACTGATTCAAATTTGTTTCTCACAATTTGGGAAAGATGACCATTGCTATGTTCACAAGTTTTGGCAACATTCAAGTAATTAATTGAATAGGGTAAAAAAATAAGTTTTATCCACACCTCTCAACTACAAGCTTGGCCTATGTGTGCACCATATCTTTTAACTACGAAACTTGCTTTAAAGGATGTTTCCTCACTGAATTAAATAACGTGTTTTTTTTTTTTTTAATTGGTGGGGGAGAATCTATCCAGTGGAAAACATGAAGCCCTCCTACATGGGTCATTTGTGGGGTTTGAATTGTGGCCCTTCTCATCCCCACCACAGACCTCTGTTATTTACATGGACCAGCCATGAGGGGGACATGACGATTTGTTAATAGGTTACACAACAGCTGTATGCTAGACAAAGCAGAATACTGAAGATCACAACTCCTGGGTTCTATTCCTGGCTCTGGGAGGAGAGTGTTGTCTAACTGTTAGAAACTGGATAGCTAAAGCACGTACAACTGACCCATTCATTCGGAGACACAATTTGGCAGAGTAAATGAGACATGGGCTCTACTCCCAGCCTGGTATGGGGGACCTTCTTTTAACTCATCTGTAAAATCCAGGGTGTGTGGTCCTAAAACTTGACTGCTACGTAGGATGGGGGTAGGCATTGGCGGCAGCAAAGGGACAGAAGTGCACAGAAATATAAACACTAGTTACTGGAGGTTAGGCCAGATCTCATGATCCGCTGGCTCCAATTCAGTGCAGCTTCCTCTAGGATACAAGATGTTTTTGGAGGGGAAGAGTCTCTCCCTAAACTTTATTCAACTGAAATGAGAAACATTTTGCAAACTCTAGTACACTTGAGAGTTCCGATTTTATCCCTTAAAGGCCGTTTAAAAGAAAAAAAAAAATCTATCAATAGCCATTGCATACACTTTTTGCCTAAAAGATCAGAGACCATGCTGTTGGAATTAGGCATCTTCAGGGTAACATACAATATCTAAATGTTTCAGACAGGAAACTTTAACCTGAATATTTAATTGTGAAAGGAAGATTTTGTACAGGAGGAGAAAAATTTCAAACCTGAAGGCAAACTAATTCTATGTCCATCTTTAAGTTTTAACCGGCTCCTTTTAAACTTTCCCTTCCTCTTCTTCACATTGGGCTTCTCTTGATTTAACTGGAATATCAAAATATTCAGCTCACGCTCCAGTACATCAATCTCGCGTTCCGCTAACTGCTGCTCACGTCGCTTTAGTAATTCTTCCTGAGATTTCTGCTGAAGAGCAGCCCTTGTCAGCTCTTCTTCCCGTGATCGCAGCTCCTGAGAATGAGATTTACATAGATATAGGTAAATCACAATACAATTCTTTCTGCTATTAGTCTATTTAAAACATAGCACTAAATTATATATCCGTAATGAATTTTCTTGATATACTGTGTACACATAATATAAATATGCATTATATTCACAGCTATTCAGGTCTTCAGAAGACAGCTCTTTCTGTAGACAAGCAAGTACACCTCTATCTCGATACAACGCTGTCCTCGGGAGCCAAAAAAATCTTACCGCGTTATAGGTGAAACCGCTTTATATCGAACTTGCTTTGATCCGCCGGAGAGCGCAGCCCCCCCCCGAGCACTGCTTTACCGCGTTATATCCGAATTCGTGTTATATCGGGTCGCATTATATCGAGGTAGCAGTGTATACAGAAATTTATTTCAAGCATCTATTTGCAATCACAGTTTATTTAAGCTGGGGTAGCATTAGCACTATCATCAATACCACCATACACTGGGACCCCAGCATTTACAATCATGCTGTTGGTGATCATGAAAAAATGCTTGGACCAGAATATATCTTCCATTTAGGGCTTGTCTACACTGGCACTTCAGAGTGCTGCAACTTTCTCGCTCGGGGGTGTGAAAAAACACCCCCCTGAGCGATGCAAGTTTCAGCGCTGTAAAATGCCAGTGTAGACAGTGCACCAGCGCTGGTAGCTATTCCCCTTGTGGAGGTGTTTTTTTAGAGCACTGGGAGAGCTCTCTCCCAGCGCTATGTCGCGACTACACAAGCCACGTTAAAGCGCTGCCGCTGCAGTGCTTTAACGTTGCCAGCGAAGACGTGCCCTAGATTGTAAGCTCTTTGGGGAAGCGAGTGTCTCTTATTCTGTGATTGTATGGTGCAGGGGCGGGCAAAGTTTTTGGACTGAGGGCTACATCGGGTTTCTGAAATTGTATGGAGAGCCGGTTATGGGAGGCTGTGCCTCCCCAAACAGCCAGGTATGGCCTGGTCCCCACCCACTATCCGACCCCCCCTGCTTCTCCCCCCCTGACGGCCCCCCCGGGACTCCTGCCCCATCCACCGCCCCCTGTTCCCTGATGCCCCCCCGGGACCCCTGCCCCATCTGCCCCTCCCTGTCTCCTGACTGCCCCGGACCTCCTGCCCCGACTGTCCCCCACTGCCCCATCCAACCCCTCCTCTCATTCCTGACTGCCTCCCGGGACCCCTGTCCCCCATTCAACCCCCCCTTATCCCTGATTGCCCCCTGCCGCCCCATCCAACTCCTCCTCTCCTTCCTGACTGCTCCCTGGGGACCCCTAACCCCATTCAACCCCCCTGTTCCCTGCCCTCTGACTGCCCCAACCCCTATCCATACCCCCAGCCCTGACCACCACCCCGAACTCCCCTGCCCTCTATCCACACCCCTG